CAATGTCATTGCTCAGGCAGCTCTGCCTTTTAGTCCCTGCAAAAGGTGGCTATGCCATCACCTCAATCTGCCCCATGCTGCGGACAGTGCCGTGACACAGGTGGGGAAAGGGCTTTCTGGAGCAGCAGCTTTTCAGAGGACTGAAGGACTGAGTGAAGGGGAACTTTAGATTTACACTTGGGAAAGCTGGAATAAATCACAGCAGTTAAAGTGTAAATGAAGGTTTAAGCAGTGTGGCATCTTAACTACCTGGGAAGTGTGTTGTGTATACTTTTGTCTCGTTCCCTCCCTCTTTTATTTATAGACAGAATTCAAATCACTTAAATAATTTAAACTAATTTGCCAGGTAGCCAGGGTTCAGGATGTGCCAGCTGGCATTAATAAGGCTGTGTTCTGACAGTGGCTCCCAAGTCTTCCAGGCTTGTCTGTGGCCACTTGCTCCTCAGACCTGGGAGATGGGGTTTGTGCCAGCGGTGGCTCCCTGCATCCACATGGCTCTCACATGTGGTGCCTGGTGCCATGCCAGCTGATGCCAGGCACAGTCAGGGAACAGAGGTGGGAGAGGATGCAGGAGGGCATTGGTCATGGGTGGCTGCATGTTGCAGACACTGGTAACGGCACAGCTAGGGGTCATTTAATCACACCACAGCATGCCACCGGCACTGCAGTGGGAAGCACAATTTAATTTCCTTCCAAATTGCCAGGGCTGATGGTGAAGCAAGGCTATGAGCGCACATACTCAGGTAACCACAGGTGCTTCATAGCAGCCATGAGGGTTGGAAAAACAGGTACAAGACCAAGAAATAACTCCCCAGCCAGAGCAGAGGGACCAGAGTAATAAGGGCGGGGACTGGCTGCACCTCTGCTGCTCATTTTCCCTTGGTGCCAGAGGAAGCAGGGCAGAGATGAAGAGTGCAAACCCTGCACTTCAATTGGGTTTGGACCCACCTGCAGGACCTCCAGATCTCTCCAGGAGATCAGTGGGTTCCTCCCACTCCCACCCTGCAGGGATGCTGAGAAGAGGCAGTTTGCACTGGGAAATGGGGTATCCCCAAGAAAGCCCTGAGACGGAGAGGGCTTTGAGATGGGAGATGCTGTGCTGCGAGTCTTCACCAGTGTGGCTGGATACTGCTTTTCAGCTGCGTCTCGCAAGCTGATCACAAGCTGCTGTTACTGAGTGCATTTGCTTTCTCCAGTGCAGGGAACAGGGTTATTTGCATAGAATAGCAGTAGAGGAGAATATGCAATTATGAAGTGAATTTTGTCCTGGTAAAGAGGCCTATAGTTGCCAAGAGTGAAGCATTGCTGCAAGACCTGCTTGTGGGAGCCCTGGCACCAAGCAGGATGCAAAGGGTGCTAGATTCCTTTCCTTAGGAAGCTGCCAGTCTGGCTTGCTGGCACCCGTAACATCCCAAGCTCATTATGTTCAGGTGAGCTGCCTTTTATTTACAAGAATTCTTGCAAGAAGAAGAATTTTTTGAATACTTGTCTAAACAAATATTTGCCTCAGATATGCTTTTGTGACTGATATGCTCATTTTCTTGTTTATCCAGCACATTTCTCAAGCGGTTTCTGAATGTCCTGTCAAATGCAGTCATTTAAAAATCATGAATTGGGATTTTCCACAGTAATGGTTGCTTAAAAACTACCTGCTTTTTTTAATAGTCCTCTGAGGAGAGTTTTATGTGCCCCCTTGCTGGTAGGATGGTCATGCAGCATGCAAACAGGCAAGCTCTGCTCCATGGATGGGTAGAGACCTCCATGTTTTCACATAGCATCAAGGCTTCAAGAAGTGAGAAAAATACCAGCTACTGCACAGCTGGAAAGAAGAGCTTGCACTGCAGCAAAAGCTTGGAAACTATTTGCAAAAGGCAAGAGAGGTGCTTGCCCTGTGTCATACAGATTTAGCCCAAGAGAAAGCAGCACTCGAGCCTTGTGGTTCAGCTCAGCCCCACGATCCCCTTCCTCTGCTCTGAAAGGTCATGGTAACAAATGAACATGTGTACCAAACCCATCCCAAACTGCTACGAATCATTAGGATGTGAGGGGAAGGAAGAATCCACTGTTAGAGCACATTTTTTTGCTGAAAACAGTCTGCTCAGCACTAGTGATGAAAGACTTGTTCTGCTGTTGTAAACACCATGAATTAATGTTGTCCGGTGCCCTGGGTATTCACTGAGAGGCAGGGTAAGGTTTCTCTGTGTGCTTTCATGTAGGCATGAGGATAGCTGAGATTGGGAGCCTGTCCTTCCCCCAGCTTCTCAGACCACACATGTAGCACACAGGAGCAGAGGGGCACGATTTACAAGCAAGCGGCTTCCTAACCTTAACGTGCTGTGATGCACCCACTGCCCTTTAAATAACCACTGTCTTTTGAAGGCATAAATACTTAAGGGGAAAAGGAAAAAAAAAATGCTATTCCCTTCTGAAAGACCTAATTTATCTGGAATTATCTATCCTTGGCTATAAATCCCATGTAAAACTTGGCACGAGTTTAAAAGCAGTTACAGCAGTGACTGTATATTTTTATCTGAAACCTCAAGAAAGAACAAACCGAAGCCCTAAATGGCAACTACAAGACATTGCAGAGATGCTGGTGAGAGCAGAGCTGCAGTGAGTGCCTTGCCTGGGAAGCACCATTTAGGAGGACTTGTGAATCCTCCCCATCTTTTTGGTTTCTTTCTGGGCAATTTCTGTTTGAGAAATTATTTTAACATGCCAGTTTTCCCTGCTGTGCATGAGTTTAGCAGTGGACACAGAATGGTCCCAGCTTGATCAATCCCCTGCTAACATTTGCTGAGCACTACATCCTCGCCTGCCACATCCTTCAGGAGCCAGGACACAGGTACATTCATCCCTGGTGTCCCCCTACTCAGGCACACATCCTCAGGGCTGTCTCTGAGTAACCTTTTTCTGCTTTGTTCTTTTCTTCCTGAAGCAGGAGAGAATCCAGGTTTTATTTAAATGAGACCTCATAAACATATGCAGCTGTAATACACTTCTCCATACAAAGTAGAGCAGGCTTATAATGGCTTACAATTCCTTAGGCTTGGCTTCTTCCCTTTAACCTCCACCTCTGCCTCTCTCTGTAAAAGATGTGAGAGCCCAGGTTTGCATGTGTCCTTGGTAAGCCAGCCGGTGGGGTAGGTGTTAAGCTTCTGCAGTGCTGCCAAGTCCTGGGAAGGCTTTGGCTAGGACATCAAGTCCTCCTCCGACAGCTTAGGAGCTCTCCCTGCCCGCTCCAGTGGGCAGATGTGACCATGGTGTCTGGGATCCACAGGGCAAGATGGAGTGATCTATGGGGTCAAGCACTTTCCTCCCAGAGAGCTACTATGCACATAGGGCTAGCTGTCACGTGGTGTGTGATGGGCATATCTGGCTATGATCATTATCTGCCTCCTCCATGCTGTAAGCAGTTTGATAGTACTCTTGAGTGCACTGGGACCTGTTCTTTTCCTGGGAGTGGGTGCCTGCACAGAAAAGACTAACAAATTAGTTATTCACGCACAGCGTGGTGAGAAGGAGCCGTGGCCATGAGCAGCTGAGCCTGGCCAGAAAGCTGCTGGGATCTCATGCCATCCTTGGGACAGCTTTGCTGCCTCTTCCCCTGCCATGCTGGGGACAGCCCAAGCCCCACATGCCAGCCCTAACCTCACCCCTACTCAAGGAGAAAAGTGCCCCACACCCTGTGAGCTGCTTTACCTCTGCCCCTGCTGCAGCCTGCCACCCTGAGCATCAATTCACACGCAGCCAGGCGGCTGCTCAAGCAGCGAGGAAAAACCCAAGTCCTCTCTGGGAAGCTCACCTTTATTCCTTGCTGGAAGCTGAGTATTCCCCTCCTCAGTTACTGGTAAAACCCCATGGCTGTCGTTCAGCAGAGCCATCCCCAGGATGTGAGCTCTGCAGAGCATGTGGGTCCCTCTCCCCACTGCAGCCAGGACACAGCCAGGCTGGGACACATGGAGCTAGGGGTGCCACAGCCCCAGTGGGACTTCACAGTATCATGGGACACTCATGGATCTGCCTGTCTCCACCAGGGTTGTGCTCCTGCTTTCTCTGTAGGAGCACCCAGGCTTCACCTTGCTGAGGAGTTTTGGATGGAGAATGCCTGTGTAAGGGCATCATGCCATATTTCCATGCAGAACACCCTAGGCTGTGTTTGTCCTCAATAAAATCCTGATCTGCATTAAGCCACGCACAGGGCATGGTGGTGGGTGTCCTGGCAGTGGGACTGTACCTGGTGGGAACACAGCTCATGCTGCAGTGTGGTGGGAGCTGACAGGGGGCTGTTGTCTTCACCATCCATGTCCAGCACATGGAGAGACACTAATGCTTGTTCTCTGCTATCTTTTCCAGGGATGGAGGGATGTGTGTACAGCTGGGAGCAGCAGGAGCATGGCACAGCCCTGCAGGGATAGATGTGAAGGTAGTGCCCTGTGAGGACACAGTGGGACCTCCCCAGACCCCAGAGGAGTGTGGGGTCTCACTTGGAAGAGGAGAGCTCCCCTTCCTGCCCTTCTGGCCAGGTCTGCCTGCTGCCTGGTTACCTACTGCATTTCCAGGGATCTGTACCAGGATCTGGGGCTCAAAGCCTGGAGGTGCATTAGTGCCGTGGGATTGCTGGAGAGCCTGACAGCAATGGGGGGCCCATCACAGAGGAGGGACATCTCTCCAGGAGGCCCTGCTTACCTGTAAGCCCTGGCTGCTGCTGGTGGAGGGTGCCTAAGGCTGAGCTGCTTGGCCAGCCAGGGCTGCCGACAGAGACGTGGTGCTTGCAGGGCACAGCCAGTGAAGGGTGAAGAGCTGGGAGGGTGTCTGCAGGGGCAGCCCAAAGCCCCAGGAGAGTGGGAGCTGAGCTGCAGCTCCTCCAGGGATTTCTTCCTGGGGCTGGCAGACAGAGCAGCCTTTTGTCCCCAGGCTTGCTGTGGATGTCCCACCCTGTCCTGCTGGCAGCACCGCTCCCCTAGTGCCGGCGTGGAGGGAAGGCTGCTCATCTCATCATGGTGCTGCCACCGCCTGACAAGCGCCATGTCTGTTTGACCACCATCGTCATCATGACCAGCATGGCCTTCATGGACGCATACCTGGTGGAGCAGAACCAGGGGCCCCGCAAGATTGGTGTCTGCATCATCGTGCTGGTGGGGGACATCTGCTTCCTCATTGTGCTGCGCTACGTGGCGGTGTGGGTGGGGGCAGAGGTGAAGACGGCCAAGCGGGGCTATGCCATGATACTGTGGTTCCTCTACATCTTCGTGCTGGAGATCAAGCTGTATTTCATCTTTCAGAATTATAAAGCAGACAAGAAGAACCTGGAGACAGTGGCCAGGAAAGCCCTGACGCTACTCCTCTCCATCTGTGTGCCCGGGCTCTACCTAGTGCTGGTGGCCTTGGACAGCATGGAGTACATACGGACCTTTCGGAAGAAAGAGGACTTGCGGGGACGCCTCTTCTGGGTGGCCCTTGACCTGCTGGATATCTTGGACATCCAGGCCAACCTGTGGGAGCCACACAGGACCGGCCTGCCCATCTGGGCAGAGGGGCTCATGTTCTTCTACTGCTACATACTCCTCCTGATCCTGCCTTGCGTGTCCCTCAGTGAGATCAGCATGCAAGGGGAGCACATTGCCCCGCAAAAAATGATGCTCTATCCCGTCCTCAGCCTGGTCACCATTAACATTGTCACCATCTTCATCCGGGCTATCAACATGGTCTTGTTCCAGGACAGCAGGGTCTCTACCATCTTTATTGGCAAGAACATCATCGCGATTGCCACCAAGGCATGCACCTTCCTCGAGTACAAGCGGCAGGTGAAGGAGTTCCCCCTGGAAGCTCCAGCAGAACTCCCTCTCCCACAACCAGAGCATCCACAGCACACAGGGCATCCCTCACGAGCCATCACGCACGAGGGAGATCCTTGACACATGGCAGGTCATCCCCAGCTGAGCATTGGTTCAGATAGCCCTGTGCCAAGCAGAGGAGGGATACTGCTTTCTTGCTGCATGGGGTGAGCAAGAGGGACAAATCCCACCAGCAAGGGCTCTTCTAGGCACAAAACACCAACCATGTTGTAATTGAGCTATGGAGTGTCCCCTAGACGTCTTCATCTCAGGTATAACCCTAGGAGTCCTCCAGAAAAACCAAATGAACTTGCAAAGGACCTGAACCAGCTAACACTTTCTGTCCATCCTTCCCACCACCATTTCCCGTCCTGAGCAAAGACCGCTAAGGTTGCAAAGTCCCTTTTTACTCCTCAAGCACCTCACCTTTACTCCAAGCCTGGAATGAAGATTTTGTTACTGAAGACCTTTTTATGGAGTGGGGACAGGGGCATAGGTGTATGAGTTGTGGGGGAAGGTGGGACGTTTGAACCAGTAAACCCTGTGGTTGTAGATGTCTCTTATCTCCAATGGTTGTGTTTACAGTTTCCTATTTATAATGGCTCCCGGGGGCTCCCGGGCTGCACCAGGGGCCAGTGTCCTTGTGGGTCAGTGGTGGGCAAGAGCAGCAAGCCCTGTGGCAGGGAGCAGGGCTGAAAGCTGGCATGTGTCGCTCACCACAGGACAAAGGGGACTGCGCCTCAAGCGGTGCACCACACCAGCTCTGGTGGGAGCAATATTTGACAAGCTGAAGCTGATCTAATGCTGGCATTTTATGAATTTCAGTCACTCCAAACAACTCAGCACAATATTTCTATTTTTAGAATGGTCTCTCCCTGCCGTTGCAAGCCGACCCACCGGCAGCAGCCGGCGCTGCTGTGCTGGCCCCACAGGCACTGCTGCAGGCGGGCACCCAGGAGGGCTTTGTAGTAAGGCTGGCGATGATGCATTTCACTCTGGCATCGAGCATTTATAAAGAGGGCTGCTTTCCACAGCTACTATATTTTTAAAATAAAATATTTCAAAAAAAAAAGAAAAGAAAACAAACCTCAAAGAAGAGCCGGGAAGGATGTGCTGCCCGGGGCAGGTGGCTGGGCTTGGGGATCGGCATGGGTCTCCTCCTCTGGTGTGTCTGGTGGTGAGGGGCTCAGCTGGCCACGGGCAGCGGGGTGGGAGGTGAGGGCTGGCCAGACAATAAAAGCCCCATGAGAGCAATGGCTTCTGGTGGTCTCTTTTCTGCCAGTGTGGGGAGGGAAGGGGCAGCTCGGAGGGCAGCTCCCATACAACTCAAAACACTTGTCTCCTGCTGTATCCACCTCCCCTGGACCCCAGGTGTTGATCCAAGTGGTGCTGTTACCTACACTCATCAAGCAGTGGGTTCAGCAAGCTAATAAATGGTTTTCCCAGCTGAAATGCTGCCCCATGGGTTGGGCACCTCTCAGCTGCCTGCACCTGGGGGGAGGCACAAGGAGGCAAGCAGACTGGGGGGAGGCACAAGGAGGCAAGCAGAAAAGCTGCATCTCAAACATACTGAAATGAGATATTTTTGCTTTTTCGAAACCAAACATTTAATTTTGAGGAGTCAGAATAAAATGCCTGATGCTGTTTACATTTCTCTTCCACATTTTCTTCTGGCTCTGCTCACTGAATTTGACCTAAATATACAAATTATTTTAGTCTTCATCTTTTCAGCCCATCATCATCTATCCATAACATTTTGTCCAGCCCTGACCCAGACTTCCAGATGGAGGACCAGGCAATCACAGCTCTGCTTGGCCACCCTGTTACCCAAGGATGGCTTTGGGGAGTTCTCTACTGGAAATAAATCTGCTGAGAAATCAAATGATATATTTGCCAACAAAAGTGAATGAGCAATAAATTTAGCCAACTGGAAAAGTTTCTTCATCCTTTTCCTCAGAGAAAACAAGAGGAAAAGGGCAGGTGATTTAAAAGGTATTAGCAGAAATTAATTAAATTGCTAAATTATTCTGGAATACCTATGGAATTACATATTACATCTCTACCGGTGCCATTAAAATACACGCGATTAACATCAGTACAATTAAATCCGGAGTATCTAATAACATTCTGCCACTCTTTCAGGTAATTAATTTATGAGGCTTTATTTTACAGCTCTTCCCCAGAACTGAGTGGAGGAAACCCTGCAGGTGCTGGCAGCGCGGTGCTGTGCCCAGGGCTGGGACATGCAGCTCAGGCAGCGCTCAGCATCAGGCTGCACCCGCAGTGGTAATTTATCCTGAGGATAACATTAATTACCTGGGGTTTACTCTGACAGGTTGTTGTATGTATTTTCGTTCTGTCTCAGCCTGATAGCTAGTTCTGCAGCCATGCCTTATGGTGGAATGTTCATATTCCTTTGAGCCTGAGCTGTTGCTAAGGTTGCTTGGAGGGATGTTTGGCTGTGCTCCCTGGATGGAGCCTGCATGGAAAGGGAATAGTGCTTTATCCTTGCTGTGCTGTAATCTCCAAGCAGGCTTAGGAGTCCCCACAACCTTTTCCTGAGGCTGCAAGACCCTGCTTTTCACTGCTAACGTGGCACTGTCTTTGTGGAGAGGGGTGTCCTTGGGGAATGGCTGCCCTGAGCCCCTGTGTTAGGAGCAGGAGTGGGAGGAGAGCAGTGGAGGTGATGCTCACCTGGGATGCGGTGCACTGCCTCATTCCCGTAAAGGCACTTGAGTTCACTGGTGCTCAAAGCCCACTCTGTGGCAAAGGAAGGGAGGAGAGGCTTTTCTTGTCTTCTGCTGTTCAACATCCCCCAGGGACTCTGTGTGCATCATGTTTCTTACTCAGGAACACAACTCTTTCTTTTCAAAGCCACCTCAGAAGCAAGTGTTACGAGCTGGCCCCTCCATAGAAGCTGCTGGAGGAAGGCTGGGAAGCAGGGTAGAGGAGCACTAGCTGGGAAAGGCAGTGTGGCATGTATCTGTGAGTAGAGGGGAGCCAGAGCAGCCAGCAAAGACCTCGGAGACATGGAGACAGCACAGCAATGGGAGCACTTCACCTGTTCCTTGCCCAGTGCTTGCTGAGGGCAATGCACGCCCTACCACCTCCTCCCCAGAATCAATCCCTGCCCAGCAGAGACAAGACCCCTGGGAGCCATGGGACTTGCGGAGGGATGGCACGGCAATGGTGGCTGTGCAGGGTGACTGGCTCCTAGCGCAGCTGTTTGTTAGAGGAAGGTGATATTTTGCTGCAGGCAATGAGAACTGAAGGAAACAATTAAAACTAAATAGGCTGGAATTGAGCAATTTTTCAGCTTTCTGCTGAGAAGGTGTGTTGGTAAAAGAGCTCCTTTGTGAAATGCGAAATCCTCCTGGCAAGCTATAGACTCCCACCTGCTGAAGTGAAAGCAGCGCAACAATAATGCAGAAGAAAGGACAGAAATTCCCAGCCCTCCAGTGGAAAACCCACATGGGTGACACCCCTCGCTGCCATTAGAAAACAGGCCACAGACACAAGGAAGCCCATGCCCTTGGAGGGGAGTAGCTGGCAGTGCTTTGGGGCCCCAACTAATGCTGTCCTCCCAGTTACCGACCTGCTGGGAAGAGATGAGATGAATGCTCCTTTCAAGCTGAGAGACAGCCCCTAGAGTAGCCAGGTCCACTCTGTAGCTTGCAGGGACACCCTCTGGAGATGCAAAACCCCAGCCTCTCTGAGCCTTCCTGCTAGGCTGGTCCTGAAAGACAGCAAATTGTTCCAGTCCTGTACAGCCATGGATGATCTGTGATCACTCCCCAGCCTCAGAGATGGAGCTCACAAGTAAGTGGAGCAAAGCAAGCCATCCCAGGCTGTTGCAAAGCATCAAGCACAGAGAAATCCATCTGGGTCCTGTCACCCTCCCAAACATTTGGATGAAGAGGCAGCAATGGGCTTGTTCTGCTGCATGCCTGACACCAGCTGTGAGAAGAGCCTGGACCCAGCTCTTGTGCCCAACAACCTCATGGTACCTGTGGTACCTACACCCTTCTCGCTGCCTTGTGCTGAATCATCAGCTATTTTACCCTTCTGGGAGCTTGTATTCAGCAATCAGCAGCACGAGCACCTTTGCTGCTTCATTGACCTGTGCGCTGGTGTGGTCCACAGCCAAGGGCACCAGGAAAGTAAAAAGGGTGCAAGCTGTAGCTTTTCTTTCTCAGGGCCCTGGCAGCTCTCATATGTCCTACTTGTCCTCTGATGGTCTCCTTTTTGGCAGGTGAAAATACCTGATGCTGCAAGCCCTGTTTAAGGCTGGGGGGAGGGTGGCTGGCAGTAGGCACCAAGCTGGAAGTGCCCTGCCGTTCTGCAGCCAGATTCTCTGCATGAGCACACCACCGATGTCTTTGCAGGGTCTGAAAGTGCTTGGGAGGATTTGGGAGAAGACACCCACCAGGACAATGCAGCACAAGGACAGCCCTGTGACCAGGTCAGTTCTCTGCAGTGTGAGACTTTGCAAACCAGGCACCAAGAGCAGGGTACCTGGGGACAGGCTGCTCCTCAGCCCAATGTCTGCTCCTTTCTCCCGAGTTTTAATTCTGCTCTCGTGCTGGTATTTCCCAGAACACAAGCTCCCTCACAGCCCTGGGGCCTGGCTGCTCTCATGTGGCTAGGCAGCAGAGAGCCCCAGCTCCCACCAAATGTGCTGCTGCTTTGCGAGTACCTGAGACCACCACCTCCTACAGTAACCCCAGCAATGTGCAGGGGGCAGAAGCTGCTTGAGCTGCAGGGAAGCCATGGAAGGGTGCAGGGAGATGCTGTCGAGCAGGTAGTTGAGCAGCAGGATGCTTTGCCTCTTAACCTGCACCACTCTGGTTTCCTCTTCAAGTTTGCCATGTGCTTGCATGCACAGCCTCACCGTAGCAGGCACCACACTGTATAGCAGGAGGGGTCAAGGCTGTCAGGTTGTATTTAACTGGGCAGGGTAGAAAGATTTTCTGTTCCCTCCTTGGCAAAACCCATATGCCCTCCCTCTGGGATGCCACGCACCCTGGTGCCACGCAGTGCAGCCGCATGCAGTGTCACCTCACACCATATGTAAATAAGTAATTTTATTTTTCCTTTTGTTCAATCCAGGTCAATTTGTTGAGCAGAGGGAGACTGAATGTTTGTGCCAATAACTCTTTTCCTCCTGCCTGTCCCAGTTTCAATGCACTTTTTTAGCTCAGGTCAATGCTGCAATAAAAAACTAAGGGCAGGTGCCCAGAGCACCCTAACAGCAATTCCCATCCGAAATTCCTCCTGCCCAGGCTCTGTAGCAAAAATTTGAGTTTCTCATTATTTTAATCCTAACTTTGACTGCCCTGGATTTTTAAGCTGTGTCTGCTTTTTAGGTCTG